AGAGCAGGAGGGAGGGAGGAGAAGGAAGGCGGGAGGAAGACGACGCGACGCCAGCGCCCTCTTCAGAACGAGAGCCCAACGCAGGAGGGCTGGGAACGAGAAGGAAGACAGGAGAGGGCTCGCAGGGAAGAACCAGGCCGAGAGGGTGAGGAATACAGTCGGGGCGTTGACCTAGGGAACCCCAACTAAGGAACGAGGCCCCTTTTTCCATAAGCTGAACTTCGATTTCCGATCGAAACCATAAGGGAAACCTGAGGCCAGCTGTGAAACACTCAAGGAACGCGGAGCCCCTGCCCAACGAAAAGGGTTCGTTCTTCAAGACCCCTACTGTAAGGCTGAGAAGAGCGAGAAGGAAAGAAAAGGAGGGAGAACGATGACAACGACGACGGGAGCAGAAATCGGAGACCAGGTGGGATAATGGGATAGGAAGCGAGGCCCACTTGAAACGTGAATAAAGCTGAGAAGAGCGAGTGGGAAAAAAAGGAGGAGAACGATGATAACGAAAACGGCGGCAAAAATCGAAGGCTGGGGTGGGCGAGACCAAAGTGAAACGTGAAGCGCCCCAACCCAGAGAAAGATCGCTCCGTTTCGTGACAGACGTGCGCGCGGCCGCGGCGAGGCTGCGCGAGAGATCCTGCACTTGGACGGGCCCGGGGCCGGGCCGACGTGCGCCGCTCCGTCCCCCGCCCATGTCCGGGCCGTCGCCCCGATGGCTGCCCCGATGGCGGCCCCGATGGCTGCCCCGATGGCTGTCCCGATTCGGGGATGGACAGAACCCCCTTTAGTAAAACGTGGTTTAGTGAAAACGACCTGAGGCCCAAACCTGGCGGGCGCAAGCCTGGAAAATAACGGCCACGGCGCCCTCTCGAGAACCGAAAACGGACAATTCACTAATCGACGTGTCACTCTTGGGGGTTCTGTCCACCCCCGACCGATGGTTGCGCCGATGGCTGCTCCGGATGCTTGTGCCGGCGGCTGTCCCGATGCTTTTGCCGGTGGCCGTCCCGCTGGTAGTGCCGATGGCTGTCCCGCGGGTTGTGCCGATGGCAGTCCCGATGAGTGTGCCGGTGGCTGTCCCGACGGTTGTCCCGATTGCTGTCCCGCTGGTTGTCCCAGTGGCTGTCCCGATGACTGTCCTGATACGTATACAACGTTTTGACAGATAGGGTGTTAGTGAGATCGACAGATGGATCATGAGACTGGCAGATCGTGCGACGGATCAATGGATGGCTGGATGAGACGGCTGTCGCAATGGTTGTCCCGATGGTAGTCCTGAGAACCTGGATCGACAGACGGAACGATACCGAGGTCGACGAATAGATAGTGGGACCGATGGATCTGGAGGTGCCTGCGTCTGGAGATGCTGGGGTCTGTGGAGTCTGTATTGGGGCTTTCGTGGAGGCGTCCTAGACCCTCGTGGAGCTTCTCCTGGGCCGTCTTGGAGCTCTCCTGGGCCGCACAGGGGCCCTCTTGGGTGCCTCTTGGGCCGCCTTGAGGGCGGTCCTGGAGGCTTATGGAGCCGTATTGGACCGTCTGGAGCGGGGACAAGCCAGACCGCGAGAATCAATGAGAAGCCTTAGGCAAATGAATGATGCTCGCCTCTCGGCACCCTCTCAGGGGTCTTTTCGAGGCTGTGTCGGAGCGTCGCAGGTGCTTCTGGAGGCATCTTGAGGCACAGTGGGCCCGTCTCTGAGTTGCCGGCAGCCCGCAGGTCGGTCTTGGGCCGGTCTGGCGGTCGTCGGCAACCGTCCGGGAGCCCTCGGAGCCCCCCTCAGGAGGCACAAAGCCCCCATGCGAACCGGTGACACCGATACGGGCCTGTCCCAGCCTACTCCGAGGTATCTCTCTATAGGTATGTATACACCTACATACATACATGCATGCGTGCATGCATGCATGCATGCATGCATACATGCATGCATGCATACACGCATGCATGCATGCTTGCATACATACATACATCAATAATACATACGTGCATACATATATACGGACAGGCAGACATACATACATACACATATCCACATATATATATATATGCATATACAGATGCACATACATATATGTGTAGATATGCATGTATACACATATCTATGTGTATACATGTGTATATATATAGCAACTCCCCCAAAGAGTGCTTCCACTTAGGAACCCCCATTTCTCTTAGAAAGCAGCTCGGCCCCGGTGCCGCCACGGCCGGCTTGCGGCCGCCCGTCGCTGCCAGTCGCAGCCGTCCGTTGCCGTCGTGACTAGGCCCCGGTGCCGCCCATGGCCGGCTTGTTGCCGCCTCCTCCTCCTCCTCCTCCTCCTCCTCCTCCTCGGCCTTTTGCCGACGTCCGTCGCCGCCGTCGCAACGCTTCGCCGCCGTCCGTCGCCGCCGCTTGCGCCGCGCTGCTTCGCAACGATTTGCACCGCTTTGCATCACCTTGCATCGCTTTGCGATGCTCTGCACTGCTTTGTGTTGCCTTGACGTGCTTTGCATTTGTGAGAACTGATGTGTGCCGCGTTGCGTACCTTCGTGTTGGTTCGCATTGCGCCGCCTTGCTTTACATTGCGTTCAATTCATGAAGTTCTTTACATTGCATTCCAATGCTTTCCGTTGCGTTGCACTGCCGTGCTTTCCGTTGCTTTCCATTGCTTTGCAATGCTTTGCACTGCTTTGCACTAAATTGCACTGATTTGCATTGCTTTGCATCGCACTGCATTGCTTCGTATTGCTTTGCATCGCATTGCATTTTTTGCATTGCTTTGCATTGCTTTGAATTACTTTGCACTGCATTTCACTGCTTTGTATTGCGCTGCATCGGTTCGCATTGCTGTGCATTGCTGTACATTGCTGTGCACTGCTTTGCGCTGCGTAGAGTGCACAACATGTATTGCGCCAGCTAGATTGCACCGCATACATTGCAAGAAATAAATGTGTGGGACCCACGCGGGGGGCGAGACCAAGTGGAAACGTGAATTGCCCCAACTGGGAAACCGTTTCGTTTCGCGCGTGAGGTGCGTGCGGTCGAGGCGAAACTGCGCAGACTACTGGCATACGAAGGCCCACATTAGACGAAGAGGAGTCGCCGGCCGGATGTCCGGCTGTCGTGCCAACGTGACAGCAGAGGGGTTCCTGAGGCCCGTGAGTGGGACAACCTGCAGTACAGATGGGTTCCTAAAGCGCTCGAGCGGGACAATCGTCGAACACATGGGTTCCTCGGGCCCGTCAGTTGAGCAACCGTCAAGACAGATGGGTTCCTTTCGCCCGCGAGCTCAAACCATGTGTTTGTAAATTGGCTCCTTTCGCTGGTAGCCTTCGCGACCCACAAATCCAATGGGTTCTTTCGTTCGCAAGCTGACTCCATGCATATTTACATGGAGCTCCTCTCGACTGAAGGCATCGGGACCAACCAATCACATGGGTTCCTTTCGCCCGCGAGCTGAAGCCATGTGTTGCCTCGATGGTTGTCCCGATAGTTGTCACAATGATTATCCCGATGGTTGTCACGATGGTTGCCCCGACACACGAGTAATGAGATCGATCGATACACTGATAGCGAGATCGCATGACAGATCGTTCAACCGATAGATAGAAAGGCTGGTACCTGTATGAATAGACTATGTTCCCCCGGCGAAGGCCGGCCGGGTTAATGTCACCGCACTCTCGTCCTACGTATTGGTAGCGTTATTAGCCGCACTCTGCGGCGGCTGGGTCCTTCCGAGCCTGCTCCCGCCCCTGAATTCGAAGAGTAAGAGCCTGCACAAAGAGGAGGAGGAGGAGGAGGAGGAGGAGGAGGAGGGATACCAGGAGTAGTTTTCCGATGGTTGTCCCGATGGCTGTTCCTATAGATGTCTAGTGAGATCGGCAGCCTGATTGGTAGTGGCACGAGTACATACACGGACGGATAGATGGTGGGCGTTTTTCGCTCCCGGGCTTCGACCGTTGGCCGGAGGGCGGGGGAGGGAGAGATCTGGGTCTGGGCCATGGCTTGGTCGATCTGGTGACACAGTCGGGGCGTTGACCAAAGGAACCCTAAATAAGGAACGAGGCCCCTTTTTTCCATAAGTTGAACTTCGATTTCCTTCTGAAAACTCAAGGAAAATCCGGGGCAAGCTGCGAAACAATTAAAGAGCGCGGAGCCCCTCCCCAACGAAAAGGGTTCCTTCTCCAGGGCCCCGACTGTACCAGTCGCGCGAGCAGACTGCGGGTGGATCCTGACCAGGTCGCCAGAGACCAGCCGCCAAAAGCAGCCGAGATCTGGTCTATTGGGGGGCCCGGGGTGGGGTCCTGCGCCTGTCGGCGAAAAAAAAGGCGGCATGGAACGGTTGCCCCGATGGTTGCCCCGTTGGTTGTCCCGATTTCTGCCCCGGTCAGTAGATCGTGAGATCCACCGAGATGCTGAAACACACGAAGAGCTAACTATATACATATTCATGTTACTATACACATCGAATTCATGTTACTATACACATCGATACAGAAACAACCAATGTTCACGTGCACTTGCGAAACCACTCGGAAGATTAGCGTGCGTCGAATGCAAATCAAAAACGATCCCCCCAAAATCTTCTTACAGATACACAAGACAAAGCGCCTCGGTGCCGATCTGCTCCGCCATCAGGGACTGCGTGGACGAGGCCTCGCTGGGCGGCTCGAAGAGCTGTTTTAGCTCCTTGTGCGAGAAAAAGCGGAGCTGCTGCTCTTGCTCGAGGTAGCTCTTCGACACCCCGCGTTTGAACACCTGTGGACGGAAGACGAGGGAGGAGAGAGGGTAGAGGGAGGGAGGGAGGGAGAGAGGGGAAGAGCAGCAGTGGGAGAAGGAGGAGGAGGAGGAGGAGGAGGAGGAGCAGGGGGAGGAGGAGGGAGGAGGGAGGAGGAGGGAGGAGGGAGAAGAGAGGAGAAGCGAGGATCAATAAGGGAAGAGGCGGAGGAGGGAGATGGAGAAGGAGGCGAAGGAGGAGGAAAGCCAGGAGGGAAAGGGGGAGGAAGAAGACGAGGCGGAGGAGAAGGTGGAGGACGACGAGGGAAGCTGCGGTCATCCCCGCGGGGTCCCGCACCTGCAGCCGGAACATCTTGTCCTCGATGGCGCCGGCGGCGATGAGGCGGTAGATCACCACGTCCTGGGGTTTGGTCGGGCCTGTCCCCCTACAGGGGGATTTTGGGCGAGAGACTAAAAACCGCTATATCTATATATATACGTATTGCAAAAATGTTCAAAACTAGTCAAAAAATCGTCCCCTGGCTACTTTTGGGCTATGTTTGAATATTCCCCCCTGTGCAGGGACGGGCACGGCGTAAGCCTAAGGGCTGCGTGCGCAGTGCGTGGCGGCCCAGGGCCAAGGCTCCAGCCCTCCAGGCGCCCTCCATCTCTCGCCCTCTTCCCCGTCGCCCTCCTCCGCTCTGCGTCCTTCCCTCTCCTCCTCCTCCTCCTCCTCCTCCTCCTCCTCCTCCTCTTCCTCCTCCTCCTCCTCCTCCTCCTCCTCTTCCTCCTCATCCTCCTCCTTCTCCTCCTCCCTCCCTCCATCCCTCCCTCTTCCGCCCTCCCTCTTCCGCCCTGCGTTCCTCCCTCCACTCCCTCCTGCCCCCTATCCCTTCTCTCTCCCTCGCCGCCTGCCTGCGGGCCCTCCCTCGCTTCGCCTCCCTCTGCCCCTCCCCCCCTCCCTTCCTGACCTTCTCCCTCTGCTCCTCCTGCCTTTCCTGCGCCTGCGGCTCCCTACATCAACCTATCCCTGAGATCCGACGTAGCGAAAAAAATGCAACATCGGGAAAATCCGCGCCCGGATGCCAGGACCCCATCTTTCTGCGTCATTTTTCGAGCTGGATCGAAGACGCCAGGCTCGAAAGCATTGAGTCACCAGGATCTCAGGGATGATTCCCCAGCGCGAGCATCCCCGCCAACAGCTGTCATGGAGACCCGTCTCCGAAGACCGACGGACACCACCGCGCTCTGAACGCCAGCCGCCACGGGGAAGCGCCTCCTGGAATCCTGGAAGCTCCCAGACCCAAGGGGGAGAATGAGGACGGGAGGGGCCGGAGGCGGGAGAAGCGAGGCCGGGTGAATGGACTCACCGTGGGGCGCGCAAAATCAGTGTGGCGTCACCGACCGCTTACACAAGTAGACCTCGCGCCCCGGCAAAGATCAGCATCATCCCTCTCGCGTCTGCCCTCATCATCCTTCTCCTCGTCCTCGTCGTCAGCCACCTCCTCGTCCTTGTGGTATGTTCATCATCGTCCCGCTTCCCCTTCCCGCCTCATCCTCCTTCCTCCTCCTCCTCCTCCTCCTCCTCCTCCTCCTCCTCCTCCTCCTCCGCTCATTCCCCCCTCTCTCCTTCCTGCATCCTCTCTATCCCTCCTCTCCCGCCTCCTCCTCTTCCGCATCCTTCCCTCCCCCCGTCCTTCACCGCCGTGCCCCCTTCGGCGTCCTTCTGCTGCCCGATGCGGTGCACGCGGTCGATCGCCTGGGCGTCGGCGGAGGGGTTCCACGCCGGGTCCACCAGGATGACGCGGTCGGCGCCTGTGGGACGCCCGCGGCCCCGCGCGGCCCCCCGACCGGGCCGGGAGCCCGCCTCCCCGCTCCCCGCTCGGGCCGGGAGGCCTGCCTGCGCCCCCCGCTCCCCGCGGGGAGCGCGCCCCGCAGCTTTTCACGACGGGGGAGAGGGAGGTCGAGCGTGCCGAGCTGAAGAGGGAGGAGGAGGAGGAGCAGCAGCAGGAGGAGGAGGAGGAGCAGGAGAAGGAGGGATGAGGAGGAGCAGCGTGCCGAGCTGAAGAGGGATGAGGAGGAGGAGGAGCAGCAGGAGGAGGAGGAGAGCCACTGCTAACCCCCATCATCGATGCTGCAATTAACACCTGCCTCCAAGTTTCCTCCATAGTTCATGCTCCTGGCGGGAAGTGCCCCATGGAAGACAACCGCCTGATGACCCTCAGCCGTGCCGAAACGCCTTCCTGGGACTTCAACGGCCCGAATCAACGCATCTGTCGCACCCTCACAATCCTAAAACGTGCCAGTCCACCATTGCTAAGATTTCGACACCACGAATCAGCGAGACCGCCGCGTCTTGACACTCCTAAATCGTGCCAGGAAGTTGTACCTGTTTACAACGAATTAGCGCAGCGGTAAAGCGAGAGCCGCATTTTGAAAGGAATTGTCCTCCATCCTTGAAGCTGTTGTCAACGTTGACAACGAATGTGCGCAGCGCTGCAGCGAAAGCCGCAATTTGAAAGAGAACCGCCGTCCATTATTGAAGCTGCTGTTGCAAACTTTTGAAGCGAATGTGCGCGGCGCTAAGGCGAGAGCCAAAATTTGGAAATCAGCCGCCCTCTATCCTTGAAGCTGCTGCAAATTTGAAAACAAATGTGCGCGGCGCTAAAGCGAGAGCCACATTTTGAAAACGACCCGCCCACCATCCTCGAAACTGTTACACACTTCAAGCTTCAGGATCATAACTGGTGAAGACGTCTCAAGCGAAACGCCTGGCCCGCCCTACCCACAAGTCTGGGGGTGCGACAGGGAGGAG